TGCCATCCTTTAGGCTTTTTCACATTCTCAGGATATTACTCTGTTAAGTGTTTATGGAGGCTTCTTTAGGTGGGCGTAATTGAGTACATTGTTGGCGATTGGTGGTCAACTCATCAGCTTCAGCCCTGCTGCCCTCCCTAATGTCAGAGATTGGGACTAAAGGTTGTAGTCCTCTCATTCCAGAGATGGGATGATTCCTTTGACAACCAGCTCCCACCCTGAGGTTTTATAGGTGCTCCAAGCCACCAGTCATCTCATTAACACAGGGAGCTTAGACTTACTCTGGAGATTCTAAGGGTTTTATGAATTGTGTACCTGTAAACATATTTTAATTATAAATCACACAACTACCCAGAACAAAGATCTGAACCAAAGGATTCTGTGTCTTCCTTCATACTCGGTCATATACAATTCCTCATGTGTTATTTAAAAACAAAACAAAAACCAGTAATATACTTCTGTATCTTATCATCCATGGTCCTATCTTTGAGGAACAAAGATAACATGTATTCTGTGGGAAGTATTTTTTGCTTGGATATCAAATACTACAACATTCTTTGAGTTATATTTTCTTTGGATACTAATATGAACACTTAGCTTTTTGACCAGAGTCAACTCTCCATGAAGTCATGAAGTAGGCTTACATCATTAAAGAATTAAGTCTCAAATTAACACTTATAAGATGAGTGTGTTACTGTTTGGGAGACTGTTTCTTTTGCTGCAATAACTGTAGGACCTACTGTTCTGTTGGAATCATGGATACCTCACCAAAGGGGAACCTTTTTTCTCTGGAACCTTGAAGTATCTCAGGTTTCCCAGCACACGAAACGTGGCATGCTCTTACAGCCCTGGGAGCACCTCCTTGTGTCCATTACTATCTCCTAGCAATAAGATCTTTAAATTTAAAATCTCTTTATGTACTTTCACCATCAGTGTCTCACACTGTGGTTATCTGGGGTCATGCTAAGCTTGTTTAAATTGAGAGCAACATAGTAACCTTATCATGCTGTTTGCCAGGCTCTCCATGTTATTTGAAATTTTGCTTACAATACCTAAGGCAGAAACCTCATGTGTTCTCTGGTGTTTGCTGGTGAGACCAGTGTATGTCTACTTATTTCACATAACTTACCACAGATGCCCCAGACAGATTCTGCAGACTACAGTGAGGTGAAAAACCTTGTGATGTTCTGCAAGGTCGAATGACCTGCTAATGGTGCTAAGTAACACATAGCTTTTCTGGAACATGAAAAATAGGTCTGATTTAAAGTAAATGCCTTTGTAGTGCCACAAAATACAGTTTCAGTGTCTGACTATTTGAATTTAACAAGAGGAGGCTTATTGTTTTTACCCCATCATTCTTTTATTTTTCTTTTTTTCATTTGGAGTCTGACTTCTTAATTATGCCATCATGGAGATTACTGGAGAACATTGCTGACTACTGAGTGGATAGGCAGGTAAATAGAGTGTAGACTTTCCTGTGAATAATGTGGATATTAACTACCTGGATTGAGTTAAAAAAGGATCTTGTGCTAGGCAAATAATGTACTATCTTCACTTTTGGCATGAGATTAAGTGGCCAGAGTGAATCCTGTGTGGAGATGTCTTCCTTTTTATCTTGTTGCCGAAACAAAATACTTGACACCCACAGTTAAAGGGGAAAAGTTTATTTGGTTCACAGTTTGTAGAGGTTTCAGTTCATATTTGGCTGGCTCCTAGGCAGAGTGGCAATGGCAGACAGGCCTCACAGAGGAGAAACATTCTTGATGGGCACAAGGTGGAAAAGCAGCAAGGGAGAAGACAAGCCTCTTTCTGCCCCTTATATTGTGTCCTGGCTACTAGGATTAGAGCAGTGCCAAATGAAGCAGTGAGCTGATTTAGTAATCACCCAGCCTGACTCCTAGCACTGTACCATGAATCAGACACACGCTCTAGTCTGGCCACCTCTGAAAAAGTCTCACCTGTGACTACATGAGGCTTGGGGCAGGATATAGGGGGACGGCAGCATCTAAACACAAACCGGAACAGTAAGCTCCATGAGATTATCCGTTAGGAGTGCTTTGTAAATCCCAAAGTGGTGTATGAGTTGAAGCATACCATTATTTTGATTTTTTTCTGAGAATCCATCGAAAATGGATATGAGTAAATTTTGGTGGTATTGTACATTGTATTAGTGATCTATTATTGGCCCCAAAACATCTGCTGTTGTCTTTGACAGTATTACTTAGGAACATTAGTTTTGTTTTTTTAATTTTAAAGATAATAAAATACAACAAAGCAAGACAGAACAAAGCCAATCAAGACAATGCAACAAAATTGGTACAGAACTTCAGAGCAGGATATAGAGATAACAATAATAGCCACCATAGTATATCTTGTTATCTTCACAGTTGTCTATTCAGTTAGGTATAGCTAAATCAAACCAAAAACAGAACACTATAAAACCAATCAAAACCATATTGAGTAGAGCAAAACAATCAGAACAAAACAAAACAGCAAAAGCAATATTGACCTTCAAAGACAAGATAGAAGGAAATCCCCCATATTTGCTATATTGTATCTGACTTGCATAATTTAACGGAGGAAGGATTTATCTTACTCCATAGTTACAGAGGTTCTAGTCAATGACTGACTGGCTCCAAGCAGAAACATCATGAGTAAAGGGCATGGCAGAGTAAATCTGTTCACCTTATGGCAGCTGAAGCACAGCCTGCTGGAAGAGCCAACCAGGAGGTGGTGGAAGGGACCAGGTATATTCCCCAAGGTCATGCTCCCATGACTCACCCAGACACACCAAGAACTGAGCTTTACTGATCTTCTAGGTGTCTCTTACACCTGACAGTCAAGACTGTTAATTTACATATATTAAAATCATACAGCCCCAAATTGTATTTTACCTTTGACCTATCTTTGTCTTTTAAAAAAGTGCAATTTAATTTTCTTAGGCAGAGTGAAAATATCCAACTATATAGATGAATGTTTCTATCTTGTCAAACATCAACAGCTGTATTATTTATTTCACCTGGGCAAAATGTAAAGTTCTGAATATTGTAAAAGTAATTCAACTATGGAGTGAATTTGTTAATGATTTGGATCTAATATTGTCTTGTTAACCAGTATTTTAAAGTGTTATGTTTTTGAATTCAGAGAGTGTTATTGTGAACATAAACAGAGAGGTATATTTTTCTCCTAGGGTATTAAATTGCCGTTCTTTCAAGTTTGAAACTGATATATCGTGGTCAGGAAAGCCACAATTTCAAAAGTTTTAGTTTGATCAGCCACAAATGTTTGTAATTTAGATTTAACATTCAGAATTCAGTCACAATTGATTCTCTTCAAATTGATTGGTTTGTTGGGTGATGTGTAAAGAATATAGGACCTGTTATTTTTAGCTCTCAAATGATTCATTACTCAGCCTTCTTTTCTATTGCTTTCTCTGAATACTCAGATGTTAACTTACTCCCAAGGCTAATGAAGTCATCTTGGACTTGCAAACAGACAAAGTAGATGCTGTGTTTGTATCAGCTTAGCCTAGTGGAATGAATGACTTCTCTGCCTCATCAAGTATTCACCTTCAGTGGTGGATGGTTGAGGGGTGCCTAATTTAGCAAATTACTTCTCTCATTATGTTACTATGAACCCTTAACTATAAGTCTGCTTCCCTTCCCTTCCCTTCCCCTCCTCTTTTTTTTTTCTATCTATAATTGAATCTTTCATATCAGCTTCCTGCTAATTCTTAGCTTTTATGATTTTGTTGTTTTGTTTTCTGTATAATTCTTTTTCCTTGAAGGCGATTAAAAAGTAAACTAATTGTTAGGAGATTTTGAGAAGATGTAAATGTAAATTAATGTGTTCCATTTAGCATCTGTCAGTAAACTTTTACATGTTTTCCTTAAATAACTATTTCAGGTTTGTGCCTTCCCTTCAGTGACTGGGACAGTAGTCACTGCTGGGTAGAAATGATTTAGCAGAGCATGCTAATTTCGTATTGTTACTGGGGCCTAATCACTGGTGGCTTGATGGAGACTTAGTTACCAGGCCGCTAGAGGGAGTAGTAGGTCCCATCAGGCCTAGTGTTTCAACTTGCTCAACCTGCTTTACTTTCCCTTTCTCCCTGGAGGCCACTCCCTGCTCCTCAGGCTATGCTTAAATCTTTGTTTGCTTCATTATCTCCTTACTGAGGTTAAGAGAGGAGTTTCATCACACACAATACACAGGAAATGTAGACTTTATAGTTGATACTTGTTTTGAACCTGGGAGCTAATTTATATTCTTAAAACACACCACTGAGCCTTTTTCTTACCCACTGGTAAGGTTCTTTCCTGCTCTGGTTCTTCTGCTTTTCTTGAGTTAGTCTGGTTTGTTCCCAGTTTTTCTTTATTTGCTTTTCTGGATGAAACAGGTACAAGTGAATATACACCTAGTAGTGGAAGTAATGGGGTGTCTGCTGTGCCTGTTTACTCTCTAACTAGGGATCAGTTTGTTTCCCTCTAGCGTAGCATTGTGTTGACCTTGTGTGTTGATTTTAGAGTTTTTCCAGATGCTCTTTGCTGTCATTGTAAGGAGGATTTACTAAGGCCAGTTCTTGGTTCCACATGTAACCTGACCCTATCACTACTCTATACCAGGCTGCAGGCATATACTAGCTTATATCACTTTTTTTTTGTTGGAGAAAAAGAAATTTCACCAATGTAAAAGATGAAAGTTTAGGTTTTTGCATTGCAGAAGTACTACCTATTTTCCTGAGATGGAGAGGAGTGCTGAGATTAACCCTGACCCTTCCTGATAGTTTTTACTGTTTTAAAATGCAGTTTATTTTTCATTGTATTATGTTTACTGTGTGAATGAAAGTTGCCGTGTTGAAGCAATTATTACTTGTAATTTTTTTTCCTGTAAGCAGAACCTTCTCTCTGGAGGAGCCATTTAGGAAGAATTTTTTTTTTAAACAAAGTTTAGTTTTGATTAGTTTTAAAACACTTATGAAATGTCTGTTTTTCCTAAAGTTGTGCCAAATCTTTGGAATGTGGATGGAGAAGTCACTGTCCCTGAACAAAAGCCGGGAGAAGTTGCTGAAGAGTTGGCAAGCTCCTATGAAAGGAAGCTCATTGAGGTAAGGACTGCTTGAGATTAGTGTGTTCTTTTTTCCTGCTGTTAGCTGCTCAGGAGACTTTTAGGAGAAGGTTCAGCCTATTACCACAGGGTCCTTAGTAAAGTAACCAACCAATTCTATACCCTTCTACCTCTGGAACAAAAAAAAAAACCAGAACAGAATGATATAGATCAAATTAAACCAGTATAGTGATTAAAAAAGTAAAGATTGATTAGTTTTACAATATAAATTAATTAGAAATATCTGAAAATTATTTTGAAAGTGGGAGCTAATTCATATTGTATGCATGTCTGTATCTTGATTTATGTGTATATTGTCTGACAAAGATAGCATAAGAAGAAAATTTCTAGAAAAATGATCCCTCCATTTAATTCAGTCACATATTAGAGGAATAAATAATTCAGTCACATAAAAAGTAGAATTTAGGGGCCAGAGATGTACTCAGCAGCAAGTACCTACTTTGGCAAGCATGAGGCCCTGAGTCTGATTCCAGGTACCAAAAAAAAGAAAGAGAGTGAAAGAAAAAGTAGAGTTTATTTAGAATTTAAAAGATGATTTATTATGAGGAGATTCATCCATTTAAATAGTCTCATTAATGAGTTAAACAGACACTATCTTGATAGTTAACAAAGTCATTTGATAACGTTCACTGTTGATGTGTGATAAAATATTCTTGATATATAAGGACTCAAGGTACTTTGATATGATAAAGTTTTTATCAGAAACCATTAATTTTCACTATACTTAGTAGTAAAGTTTGGAGGCTTAGCTTTTTACTAGTTGTGGGTATATGTTGTGGTAGTTGCTTGGCAGTAGTGTTATGTGTAACATTTATATATATGTATACATAAACATAGAAATCTACAAGTATACTTCCAGTACTTTCTAAATCTTCTGCTGTGAATAAGTTTTTAATTTTATGAGTAGGAAATGTGGAAGACAACTCTGATGACTCCCTTTGAGTGCAAAACAATTATTTGGCGACTCATTTCCTTATACTGATAAGTAAAAAGCTGGCTAGGGTATTTACTTCTCTCTTCAATTGGCTCTAAGCATTGCAAATAAGGCTAGCTGAGGCGCTGGTATGAAATCTCTAAGGCCAACAGACAGTCCTGTTTCCTCGCCTAGTGTTCTCCGTACAGAATATGTACAGGATATGAGCACAGCAAGATGTTAGAGCCAATAGCTCTGGGAATGTCAGTGGGGTACAGCCTCAAGGTAAAGAGGCTATGACTCCCCAGGGCTCAAGAGTTTACAGTTTAGGTTTATCAGAAACCTAAATATCATCAGAAACCTACATAGCAGCCTCCCAAAACAATTCTATTACTACCTTAATTAGATTATGTAAATTTAGCCTTCTGCATATCTTTATACCTGCAATTTACAGAGATGCCATTCTTGCACCTGGCTAGCAACTTACTTAATTCCCACCATCCTCACAGTCACTCATCCCTGAGCCACCCCCCTTCTTCACAAGATAATAAGTTCTGAGAGAGGCCTAGGATCAAGGCCTTTGTCCACGAATCCTCACGGGGGTTGGACTTAGCACCCCTTTGCTGCCCTTAACTTGGAATATGTCTTGGTGTTTTGACTCTCACCTTGGGTTGCATTGCTGGTGGTGGATTGAAATTATGTCTTAATGGGATTATAGATATAACCTTTTGGATTGTGAGGAAAACTAGAAAGAGGACTACAGTACTTGGATGACTGAACTCAATATTTGGGATTAAGATAGGAAAACACCACTAATTGTTATGGAAACATCACTGAATTAGATTTGGGCTTCAGAAGTAGGGCATGGTAAAAGTAAACCTGAAGCTCATTTGTAGTATAGGCCACCAAATCTTAAGAGTATATATTGCTCATGTGTTAGTGAGCTTTCCATTTGTGTGACAGAAAACCTAAGAGAAACAGGTTTGTTTTAGCTTATCCTTTCACAGGCTTCAGTCCATGGTTGACTGGCTCCATTGTTTGTGGGCCTGTGAAGAAGGCAGTACGGTACATCATGGAAAAGAGGGCATGGAAGAGCAGTCAGAAAACAGAGAGAGATTGGAAGGGGCTAGGGATAAGATATAATTCCCTGGGCCACACCCAGGTTCAGCTTCTATGGACCAGGCTCTACCTGCCACAGTTTCTGCCACCATCTCTTAATAGTCCTTACAGCTATGAATCCATCAATGGATTAATTTACTGCTGAAGTTAGGGCTATGATGATCCAGTCACTTCTGAACACTGCTGCATTTCAGACTACACTTCAATACATGAGTCTTTGGGGAACATTTCATACCCGAACTGTGACAGTCTGGTTCCTGAATTAACTCAGAGAAAGAGAGATGACACAAGAAACAAATTGATATAACTCAGGTGAATTCACAAGGAGGCAAATTTTGGCCTTTGCTGGAACAATATAGTGGGAAGAGTTGGAACTGGGAAGGGAAGTCTTGAGGACAGGGGAGACTGTCTGACCTACATGGCTTTTGCCTCTCACTGTGTTCAGTGAGATGAGGACACTCAGTGTTAGCTAGTGACAGTGCCAGAGTACCAGATAATTGATTTGTGCCCCCAAAGCACAGTTGCAGTGGGAAGCTGGGAGACAACCTGAATGTTTTTCTCCTCCACTGGATACCCAGTCTCTGGAAGGCAGAGATCCTATCCTTTGTGTGTATGTATTTTCAGGTGGTATTTATTGGCAAGTGATAAAAGTAGCCCTTGGATGAACATATTTTTAAATTCTCCAGGATAGGAGTACCTCAGTTTATTGAACGAGTGGCTGATTAATCAGGGGAGGTGAAAGGATTATCACATTGAAAATGGGTAGGAAGGCTGTATTCCCTCAGGAGACCAGAGGGAGAAGTACAGTGGCAAGGTCTTGGCATATGGGTGCCCATTAAAGCACCTCTTCTCCAGATCCCACTGGAGCATTGGCGTTGGAGCATGAGTCTCACCATCCATGCAAGGTACACAGGTGCAAGACTGCATGCCAGCTTTGAGAAGACAGCCATGGGCTATTAGACCTGCTGAGCAGGCATCATTAGTTTATCAGGTGGTTGGTTCATTCACTGTTTATTAAATGTCTGCTTTCTACATAGGGAAAACAAAGGATAGAACTCTGTGCAGGGAAATAGTGGGTAGGTTGAAGGAACAGAAGGAGGTGTGTGGGTTTGGAATGGATGAGGGGAGAGAGGTGGTGATGTGGACAGAAAGGAAGGAGGGTCAGATAATAGTACCTAAAAGTTATATGGTAGTCATGTCACCACTTGATTTCCCATGTGAAAGTCTCATCATCTCTTGGATGACTTCAGCTGGATATTGGGAGAAGATTAAGTCACATAGGAAGTTAGATTGTCAGATCCCCTCACTGTTCTGTTAACCATGATAGAGTTAAAGGGAGCTAGTGGTTCAGGGGTAATGATTTTCCTTGTCAGCCTTAGGCTTCCTTCTATTCCTTCTGTAATTCTTTCAGCTGGGGCCAGCAGAGATGCTGGCTCTAGTCAGAAAACCAAAAACAATTTAAAGCAGAGATGTCCTCAACTGGTGTGTACTACCCTAGATTGATTTTGATTCTTTGGCTGGAAAGTAAAGTTCTTTCAGTGTTCTTTCATCTATGAATAGAATAGCATTTCATTACCTCAAGACATTTACTGAACCCTTTGTATTTACGTGAATGAAGTCCCTGCTGTACTCTTTGTGATGCTGCTGTGTTATTTTGTTAATGGGTTGATTTTTACCCATAGTAGTAAACACTTGTGGGAGTAGAATAATAACAGAGTATAGGGGAAAAGCTGAGGTGATCTCTTTCCATTTGAAAAGGGCGAAGGAAGAAGAGGCATTTTATTTTAATGATATGGCTGTTTGAAATATCCCAACTATTGTGACTCATGCGAATGTAAAGGGAATTTGTGAACATGCTGCTTCCTTTGTCTTCAGAAGCATAAAAACTACCTCCTCCATCTGCACATATGCACAACACGTTTATCCTTGATGGCCTATAATCCAGTGTCTAGACAGCTCAGAACCTGCACTCAGTACCATACAGTGATTTGTTAGTAGTGGGTAAATTTTAAGTACCAGAAAATAGAGATAGAAAGATTGTTCTGGGGCTGGAGATACGGCTCTGTGATGGAGCTTATTGTGTCTGAAGTTCTGTGTTCTGTCCTCAGCACCAAATAAACAGACATACAGAAAACAAATTCTGTTGGGTGAAATTTAATCTAGCAGGGGAAAACACTAGTATGGATGGAGGTCACTATAATCCTAGTAGCATCAAGTACATATGGTTAGTTCTAAACCCTGTGCTGCAGCTTTTATATCAGTGAATTCCTGACACCCTCCGAAGAGTTCCTTGAGGAAGACATCATTGCTATCTCTTGCTCACAGATGCAGCCTTAAGAGATTTAATAACTTTCTAAGGATTTCTTAGTTGGTAAGAAGCAGAGTATGATTTGTATTACCCAGGCAGTTAAGCAGTAGATCACAAGACTGTATGTGCTCTGGAAAACTGAGCTGATTGAAGGAAAACAAGCAAAGCAAAACAACAACAAAAACCTCAAAACTTAACTTAATAGAAGATACTATCCACTAATAATGTTTGAGACAGTGATTGAGGGAACAGAGGAGAGCCAGCAGCAGAACAGCAGATGGCAGACCCTGAGGCAGCATCAGCATTTGAAATGATGCCCAGAGGAGACATTGTACTCCTCCTTTTGCTCCTGGATCGGGGGAGAGCTTGCCTCGTCTATTCCTCAAGTGCCTAGTTCTAAGGGACTTGGGAAGGCCAAGTAGCAGGGGACTTTTTGAGGATAATGCATACGTGGTCTTTTTAACTGTGTGTTCACTGCCTGCTATGTTGACTGCATATAGTAAGAACTCTATAAATACTATACTGGACAGAGTGCCAGTCTGTTGAATGAACTCAGTTGTTTACTGAAATGCTTCTAGGATGCTAAATGTGAATTCTGGAACTCCAGATTGGAAGCATGTTGAGCAGATCACCACAGCTA